TATTTTTTTTGTTAGCATGCTATCTTCTCTCAAGGGAGTTATGAAACCATCATGGCTGAAATATAAATAAGTCTCTTTTTTTTTTTTTTTTTTTCTTGTGTAAGTTTTCCTTTTGAGAATATTTTTTTTATTCTTTTATTCAGAGTTTTAGATTTAAAAAAAAAAAATAGAGGGAGGATTCTTCATGTTTACCAAATAATGGTAATTCGGAGAATGCGTACTTCTATTTGACAAAAATATATCGGATTAAAAAAAAAAATGTTCTCTCATAAATAAGTAAGTGTTATTTAACGCTACATTTTCCTTCATCTTTCCAAGTTGTAATTGGATTATGAAGTGAATTGCTTACTGGAAAAAAAAATTACATAAAAAAAGGAAATATAATCATATGTGGTGGTGGATTCTCCATTACTTGATTACAACTATTCAATTTTAATGTTATTTTCATAATTAAAAAATCAAAAGTTGTTTTTTTTTAATTGATAGTTTGACTTTGAGCTCACAATGAAATCTCATCTTGAATGTTTGTTTCGAGCCTACTTTTTCTATACAATTTTCGGTTAAGTATTTTCTGGTTTTCCTTTATTTTTGTACAACGTGAATCAACGAAAAAATTCATCAAAGTCTACACTAGTGAGCCTGAATTGAAGATACTTGTTGAAATAACATTAGCTCTGTCTGCAAGGGGCTGAGATGTATCCAATTATCATGCCAAAAGGATGCTAATTAGTTCACTATTGCCCGGTTATGTGGTACTGCTTGATGAATGGTCTAGCTAATGTTCAAAGCTGCAACATTTTCCTCCATGTCTATGAGGTTTGGTGAGGTACATTGACCACCCAAAAGCTCTTGTCCTTAAAGCAGATTACCATGTATCCAATCCACCCATAAATTATATAGATGTTTTGTTCCACAGTTCAATATTTGGGATTCTCAGACCACCCACTTCCTTAGGCTGGCACACTCTGCCATCACATATTTGCTTTATGGTGATTCATGTCCACACCTGAACATAGGAAAGCACCATAAATGCCATTAATGGCATTGATGGTCTTCTTCGGGAGCCAAAAATGCCAGTCCAATAATGTGTGAAACCCATTAGAGTAGACTTGATTAACTGAAGTCTGGTCGCATATGAGAGGGTTTTGATGGTCCAGTGAGTTTTGTCCACCAAAACTTAACAATTTGACGTTTTCAGTCCCTTTGATATAAGAGGAACTCCTAAATGCTTAATTGGGAGAGACCCTCTCTGAAACCCAGTAGTTGTAGGCTTTGAAGCTCAGTTGCAGGCCTAATACTAGAGAGAGAGACATTACTTTTGCTGCGATCAATTGTGTATCCAGAGCTTGCTTGATAATGGTTATTGAAGTGAGATATCCATGGGACGGTAGCAAAAAGTCATCGGCAAAATATAAGTGGCCGGCTTATCTTCATATCTTTGCACCTTCAATGGTACTAGAAAGAAGGATGAAAGAGGTGGTGTTCTGAATGATGAGTGAAAGAACTTCAATTGTGATCACAAAGAGGATGAAGATAAGGGGTCTTCCTGTCTGAGCCCTTTCACACCCTTAAAGAACCAATGAAGCTCCCCATTTATGGAGATAGAGAATGAGGGAGTAGTGGTACACTCTCTAAAGAGATCAACTAGCAGAGGAGGAAAACCAAACTCCTCCAGAGCATCTATAAGAAAGTCCCATGAGATTGAATCAAAAGTCTTGGAAAGATTAACTTTAAAAGCACACTTGGGTAGAACGGAATGGTTATGATACCCTTGAAGCAACTCTTTAGTCAACAAAATGTTGTCATTAATGTTTCTGCCTTACATAAAAGCACTCTGAGAATTGCTTACTAGAAAGGGAAGAGCAAGCTTAAGCCTATTTGCTATCAACTTGGAAATGCACTTATAGATAGAGTTGCAGCAAGAAATAGGCCTAAAGTCAGACATGGAGATTGGGTTAGGGCATTTTGGCACAAGAGCAATTTAGGGCACATTCACCTCCTTCAATAACTTTGCATTAGCGAAAAATTCTCCAATAGTCATAATGAAATCCCTCCCAATAATAGTCCAAGCCATTTTGAAGAAAAATGGGTAATATCCACTAGGACCAAGTACTTTGCTACCATCTAATGAGAAAAAACAGGACTGAATTTCAAGTGGAGAAGGTTGGGCAGCGAACTCAGTCAAAAAGTGAGAGGTAAGTGAGAGAAATGAATGGGGAAAGAGCTTCCTTGCTTGGATAAGTGAATGTGGAGGTGCCAAGAAGCTGATAAAAATAAGCCACTGCGATCATTCAAAAAAATTCCATTAATAATAATAAGTGAGGTGATCTTATTCTATTAACCCCATGAGTTAAATGGGTTGAAAAAATAAGAGGAGGTGTTGTCCCCATCTTTTAGTCACATAATTCTAGCTTTCTGCCTCAAATTTATCTATTCCATTGAGATCAACCTAATATACTTTTTCACCAATGAAGCTTCAAGAAGCTTTAGATCATAATTATTTGGTTGCTAGTCCAACATAGATTGACATGAAGTAAGTTCATGCTTGACTGCTGTGATACACTTGGAAAGTTATAACATGGGCTTAGCACATGCTTCCTTAAGGGGTTTCTTTAACAATTTCAGTTTCCTTACCACTTAATACATAGCAGTTCCTCTAACATAGTTATTCCTTACATCTGTTACCACTAGTAGAAAGTCATTACAGTTACTCCATGAATTAAAGAATCCGAATGGGGAATTAATGGGATCCCCCAAAATAATAAGTGCAAGAGAGTGATCTGAGATGCCAGGAGGAAGGAACATTGAGACCATGGAATAACTCTACCCAGCTTTCCCATACTCTTACTGTTCCAGGTGAGAAAGCCCCTGAAAACCTTTATTCCTCCAACTCAGCTTCTAAAAGACATTCACATAAATCATTCATTGTTGTAGTTCTTCGGTTGCAGCCCCTAAAATTATCTAAAGGATCCTTAATTATATTGAAATCGCTTGCTAAGAGCCAAGGTGAGTTAGAAAAAATAGATGAAAAACTAACGATATTTGACCACAGTTGCAGTCTACTATCAGCTTGGTTGGCACCATAGACAATGGATAGATGAAATTGAGCATTATTGCTCAATATACAGAACAATGGATAACTTGGCATTGCGTTTTCATCACTGTGAGCTGATTCTTACTAGGGTCCCATCAAATCCAAATTTTTCCTAGAGATGATTGACTGTAATTTTCTACCATTTACCTCCTCAGGTGTGTGACAACCCTTTGTGTGCATTTTTATCTTTTGCTCCCTTCTTCCCGGACTCATTGCTACAGAACTACTACTCTTGGAAGCTTTGTTAGCCTTGATATCAGAAGAAACTGATGCTAGGTAAATCAAATCAAAGTGTTCCTGATACTCAAGAGCTTGAAACATGTTTTTGACTGCTGTATGGGTTGCATGAGAGTGCTTAAAAGATGGGGACAAGTCAACAATGGTTTTACCCTTGCCATTGTTAGGGAATATATGTGTGATAGTGGTGGTGAGCTTAGTTAGGACTCTGAACCGGTAGGCGAACAAGGGGTAGAGGATATAGCAATATGAGCAATGGGAGAATCACTGATAACTTGTGAGGGGCTTGGTGGGTAGACCTGTGTGTGGAAGGCAAAACAGGCTCATGATTATCATGGGTTGAGATGAATTCTTGTTTCTTTTCTGGACTACTCTCCAGTGGTGGTGAGGTGTGGCTAAATGCTGTTGTGGTAAGGTTGGGGGTTGATGCTGTGGAGTGGGTAGTGGTAGAGGAGATTGGGTGATCAAGGTCTCAATTTTCTTGTTGGCCTGTGGACTAGGATTCCAATTATATTCAACTTTGATGTTCACCACATCATCATTATGCAATTTTAGTTTGATTGTGTCAACCAACATGTCCCTTGATAGAACTTCCACACATATTCCGGAAAAATCTAAACTTTTTATACCTGCAGTGGCTGTATCAGCACAAAGAACCTTATGATACTAGCTATGTAACTCAACCCTTTACCAGTCCAAAATTAGAGTGACACACCAAACAATCTTATCCAATTTGGAGTAAATGGAGGGAGTTCATGTAAGCTTTTGGTGTCCTCAGACCATTTCTTGAGAATTATATGTTTCCCTCCCATGATCCATGGTCCTCTGGCAAGCACTTTGCTGCAGCAAGATGGGTCTCCAAAGACGAATAAAAAGTGGTTCTTGTCAGCTGCCACTTCCTTCAGTCCCAAAGTTGACCAAAACTCGATGGCCAGAGATATAACAAGACCAAAGGGCAACCTTTTCTGGTGGAAGAATCCAACTAAGCTAGAATTCCACTGAGAAACTCCTTCATCAGCAATATCTTTGGGGCGCTCAATGAGAGCTTTAGTTCCCTCCAATGTTATGGATGTCAGATCAAAGAACTCAAAATCCATAGGGGACTGGTTGCTCTTCACCACATTTCACCAAGTCCTAGCTAGTAGAAGAAGGTATGGGTGTGTGCGTGGATGTGCTGCTAGGTAAGATAGTAGATAACAGGTGGTGGAAGATGGAATAACATGCTAGTTGAGACCGGTTAGTAGCATAGGTTGGCTAGGTGGGAGCACAATATATAGAAGGGTTGAGTATAGCAAAGACACAGTCTGCAGCCTTATTTCCCAGACTAGTGTTTGATTGGGGGTCAGAGCCATTGTCCAGAGAAAAAGTAGAAGACGACATACCAGAATTGTGAGTAGGATTTGAATTTGAACCTTGGGGTCTTGGAGGGAGACTTGCAGATGGTGGCGGGTGTAGAACACCTTGAACCCTAACATCCACAGATGGAGCTGGAGAAGCCCTCGCTGAACATGATATGGTGGCCTTAAAGGTGGGAAATCTCTTTCAGTAGGTTGTTAGAGCTTAACTGTAGGACCTTCTTCTTCAACTGTTTGATCTCTTTGCAAAGTACGTAGCATAGTCTCCTCAACATGTGAAATGGCTTCCCTGAGCTTGCTTCCCTGGTCAGCAGATGGTTCCAGCTGGTTCAATTGCTGTGGGAGTAGGAAGTTGTCGCTTTAAAGAACTTCAAAGGCTTTCTTAATGTCTTCAAGCTCTTTGGCTACCACATTCTTGTACTCTTGAAGCTGTAATGTTGTTGTCATAACCTCATCACGTGCAGAGAATTCCTCATCTCAAAAGGCTTCCTGGATCATCAGATGAAGCAATGGGTTCTCTAGTAGGAGGGATAGAAATGGGTGGGGAAATGCTAGGTAAATGTAAGATTATAAACAAAATTTGTAAAAAAAAAAATATATAAATGTACATACGATTATAAACAAAATTGCAAAAAATATATAGTAACTTACATATTAGAAAATTGGAATTTGCCAATAAAATAAATTAGTATGAGAATGTGCATATATTGATAATCCAGATTGCCAAACCTAACTGCGGGATCCCAAAAAACTTAATTCTTTTTTTTTCTTCTCATAAACCGAATTCAACCACAACATTTATATAATATATTTTTATTTTTTATATTTTCCAAATAGTTTTCGACTGTAATTGCCAAGTTCCTGCTACAAGGACTGATGCAATGTACTACAAGTTCCTCCTACAACCACAAGAAGAACATGAATATTATCAGTAATAGTGAACATCATATTTATAATGGTAAACGAATAGAGACGATGATATATATGGTCATGAAATTACAATTTTTATTTGATTGGTAAAAAGGAAAAAGGTATAATGATAAATAAAGTAAATCAATTTGCATATACAATACTTCTAGTTGCAGAGAAGCTTGAGCTTCAAAGTTCTTGTCCTAAAGCAATGCAAATTGAACATCTGGAACCATTCTGACACTTCAGAACTGTGTGTTATATGACATTGATATGCATCATCATACATTCAGTGAATATCAAACGATATGTATAGGTTGCTAGTAAACGCATTTAATTGGATGGACCGCAACAAAGCAAAATCTTTTTTTGTCTTATTTGTTGCACAGTTGACCAATTGAAAGAGTAGATTCAGCAATTTGCTGCAACTATTCGTGCAAGAATCATTTTTCATTTAGTAATGCTTAACCAAATCTCTCATGCACACTCTTGCTTGCTTTGCATTTTAAAGTTGGGTTTGTGAATCTCATTTATTTATTTATTTTATCTTATTACCCTTTGTTTTAAAATAAGTGTCATCTTTTAATTTAAGAGAATAATTTATTTACTAGTTTTTATTGTATTTATTAACCCAATTAAATAAATAAGACATGTGCAAGTTTGAAAATCTAACCTTAATAAACTGGGTCGCATTTGACATGTTACCTTATCCCGGAGAGTGGGTAAATTACATACACATATTTGTTAATTCATAATAGTGAAACCGTAAGTATTTTTCCTCAATCTATAAAAAAATTCAATTGGCATTTTAATTATTTGGCCTCATTGATATTTGTAATTTGTTAATAAGAAATTATATTAAATAGGTTATTAATAAAGATATACACGTATCGCCTTTTTACACGTTTTATGGGTTGCGCCATTTAACCAAGCCTATTTATTAGTCGTTTGAATAAATAGATAGTGCCCATATCCTTGTCGCCAATTATCACCCCCTTCTTTGAGGCAACATTTGAGGAGAGTTGCAATGAGTTGTGTTGGAAAAAAATTGCAATGAATTAAAATGGAGTTGCAATGTTTTCTTCAACAACATAATTTGGATTTCTATGATACTGAATTTTTTTAGTCGTACTTCATTAACGCTGTGTAATGCTCCGTTTCACAGTTGAATTGCATTTTTATAAAATGTGGCAAAACTTTGTTTGCTGTAATGCACGAATACTAGCACGACCTGTTCTGCACGGATATTGTTGGGGAAACGGAAATTTTATAAAAATTTAGAGGGATTTTTAAATAAAGATATTGATTCATGTGTAAAGACAAATTTTATGCATAAAAAACATGATAGATCCATTCAATTAGAGAAAGAAAACTTACATCAAAGTTTGCGTAAACCTTAATCTCTCATCTAAAGTGAATGTTCTCATTTATTATATATCCCTTTACTAAATACCTCTTTTATGGATCTCCATCTCGTTGGTAATGATCTTGCCTTAAGAAATCACCAATCGGCCTCCATGAATGACATTGGAGAGCTAAGTTTGTGGGAGCTTCCATCAGATGAGAACACTAACCCTAAAATTCTAGAGATATAAAATATTTTCTTTTCTTCCAAAATTATTGCACAAAGGCGCAACCTAAAATATACATTAACCCATGTATATATAGACAAAATAAAAATAATAATTAAAGATAATATATATTTTTTTATCTCTAAAAGTAACGTGATATCTCAAATCTAATGGGTCTCCAATATCAAATTGGGTTATGAGTAAGAATCATTTGAACTTATTATTTTCTACCATGTACCCAATTCAATTAATTCATAAATTAATTTCTACTCCACTAAAAGAAATTAATTGAACTCCAATTAAATAATAAATAACATCTTAGTTAATGTTGCATTTTAACCCCTCTATACATAATTAGTTATCGGATAAATAAAGTCATCAATCCGACTACTAAATTAATATATTTATTTTGGTACATTTGATTATTTCTGACTTGATCACAATAAAATATTTGTTTGATAAAAATAATAATTTAAATAAATAAATATATAGAAAATTATTTTGTCTAAAAACACACGAAGTCCTTCAAATTTACTTTGTGATCAACCATAATCAATACAAAATAAATATAAATAGTAATAATACAAATATTAAAAATATAACTCTCTAACTATTAATTATATAATTATCCAAAGTGCCAGTCTATGGATTCCGAAGATTCCGCCGAACAAATCAAAGTAATTACTAATTAATAAAATAGTCTACACTTCTCTCATACTTAAGAGTCAAATGCCATGATAGTGACAAGGAGCAATTGTATACGACGACTCTCGCAATATATCTCAACCTAACACGAATCCAGTTCAAGTCTTAATTAATAATGAGTCCATCCATAATTACCGACTATGAACTATTTATGATTATTATTTATGTTCATGTATTGTGTAATGATTCGAACCCGAGGGTTCAAATCGCTAACCAGGTCCTTACCCGAACTCGAGAACATTTAAGGGTACCATGGTCATTATGCACCTTACTAAGTGTTAGGAGTCATAATGAAGTCATACAAGTCGTTTATAACCACATTGGTTTATAAGGAAGTGAAAGTTCCAACATCGGATCCACACCGGACCCCTGGGTTTACAAGGGCAAAATGGTCATTTTAAGTCATAATTATGAAATGAGAACGGTACTAATGGAAAGAAGACTCAAAATACTTCAATTTGAACTCAAAAATGTCGTTTGAATGTATAATGAAGAAGTTATGTCTATTACAAGATAGGAAAAAATAAATAAATAATTAAATAAAATTTTCAAAAAAATAGAGAAATGGGGGATCGATGCCACTGGGTGGGGGATCGATCCAACACCCCCTGGCAGAATACCCCCTCTGAAATGGAGAGGGGGATTGATCCCCTTTTGTGGGGGATCGATCCCACACCCCCGGGCAAAGTACCCCCTCCAAAAAGAAGAGGGAGATCGAATCATTTTGTGGGGGATCGATCCCCCACTAATTTTTTTTTTTAAAAAAAAAAGTGGGGTTGGACCCCTCTTTCGCCCCGTTACCAATGGTCGAAGTCTCATAGTCATCAATTGACATCAAAATCATACAAAATCTATCCCAATCACCATCACACTCATATGGACATAATGATAAAGTGATATTCATGCATTGAATTGAATCCATTTCATTATTGACAACAAAATAAGTTATACTACATCCATGGACGGTTCAAGGAACAAAAGGAGAGTTAGAGATCAAAGTGAGACCTCAAAGCGGGAGTTAGGTCTCATATTTATCTCTACTCCAAATTATACATATAATTAACTATCAAACACAATTCTTTAGCAAAAATATAATACATCTTTGGCCATTAGTTCAAAATACACCAAAATGAGCCTTAGTACATGGATTCAATTCTAAGTTCACAAAAGAAGTCCTCAAGTACATCAATGGTGAGATGGTGGGTCGTCCATGACTTCCTTTCCGTTTCCTAAAAAATTGTATAGGAATGAGCACAAGGCCCAGTAGAGATTGCCAAAATGGCATCTCCTAAAATTAAGTAGACGAAACGCATTCTTAGGCACGTCAATGAATAAAGTAGGAGAATAGGGATCATGCCGGACAAGTAAGCTACTATCAACCATTTGAAGTGATACGATGCATGAATTGACTTATGCAATGCATATCACACACACATACGCATGTCCACACACCCACCAAAAAATATATTAACTAGCCGAACTTTGGTACCTCTGTTGTCCCTAGGGAGAATTTGCTAGTCGTCCTTAACAAATGGTGACTCGATCCCAACTACCATTTGGGACCCGAGGTCACTAAATTGCTCGCGGGTACCTCCCGTGTCCCTATTAACTAGTTAATACCACCAGCAAAGGTGTAGCTCCCCAACTACCAGGTTTTAAGAAAAACTTTTAACAAAACTTCTTCAAATTCAACATACACCTTCCACACCTTTCCCATAACACACCCAATGCCCAATGTCAATGTTATAATATCAATGTCATGCTCAAAATTATTCCCATGCTTCAATAGTCCTCATTATTCATCCATAATCACAATTCTACCTTTACATGAATTTATACAAAATTATCAAAATATGAATATACATGGCATTGAAACATTCACATTGGCAATTTTACAACACCTAGCATAATTAGCACTTCGAAGACACCAAAATGTCAAATTTAGTATCAAATGGCATGCTTGCTCACAATTAACCACATAATCCATTCAACACGTTGGAATTGCTCATCACATAATCATCATTTAACACATAACAACAACCAATTTGTCATACATCATCAATTTAATAAAACCCTAGCATGCTATTACCAAATTGACATCAAATTGGCATGTAAAAATTGGGAAAAAGCATGAATTCAACTACAAAATTTAAGGACTATGCAAGTTAGACAACTCTACCTCTTTGAAGCTCAAACCTTAGTTCTCAACAAATGCAAATGTCCACCAAAATGCAAGCTAGTTACACCAATGGAGAGAAGAGGACAAGAGGAACAAGTTCTCCCTTTAACAAAAACCCAACCTTAAGGAGAACCCAAAATTTCGAAGTGGATAACAGGGGTTGTTCTTAGTATCAATAGATAGTTCTTATC